TTTTCTAAAGAAATTCGAATGGGTACAAAAAGACATCACATCACAAAAGGACAAAATAATATGATCCATCCGAAGAACACGCATACGAGCTCTAAGGTGTGGGAAGGAAAGGGAGCTGCACCAAAACAAAGAGAGCAAGTAAAAAGGGCAACCTGCCGGTGTGCAGGAATCGTATTAGTGCGTAGGGTTGATTGTTGTTCTCACCATTTGAGTTCGTCTCAACCAAAACTGGACGTGTGAGGTGTCTATGGAAGTTTACACAAATCTGGGTACCAATGGCCTACAACGAAAAAGGTAGGTGTGATCGGCTAGCTTGAAAAACACTAAGGCAGATTTGACTTCTGTTTCTCTAGACCGAAATCTGTTAGAGCACAGAGTCCACGCTCGTTGAGAAAATAGATTTGCCTAGTATAGAAAAGTAAAAGCGATAAGTAAATGACACGAGAGATTTTTATTGTGGTTCAAGGAACAACATTTTCCTCTAGTCCACTGTTCCACTAAACACTTGTGAAGATGTTACAACGCTTAGATTCCCCAACACTTAAGAAGCTCTCCTCATCTTCTCCAAGTGTAGTCGCCTTTGTCACCCGGGATGCAACCTTGCTTCTTGATGATTGACCCTTTTACCGACCTCCTTAAAGTATCACCACTTCACTCCGATTACTTTGGCGCAATTTCTTTTTCAAGAAGTAATCCTTTGATAAAGATAACAAATATTTTTCTCCAACGTCTCGTACAAGATCTGTTGATGTAGCTTTCGGAGTAGGTTGAAGAACATGGACGAACTTGTGTTGAGAGTTGAATGTAAGATATGAGCTGTGAATATTCCAATCTCTCGTTTGAATTCTTGTGAAGATTTTGTAGTCGGTTGCTCTCAAAAATTTGTACGCTTGATTTCAAATTTTATTATTCACCAGTTCTTCTAAGTGTACGTATCTTTTATACTGGTAGTAGTAATCTCGTTGGAGTGAAGAAGACTACTTCACTAAATGCTTGTCTTGTAGACTTGGTCGTGTCAACTACAAGATTTCCATCAACTTACTATTTCCGGATATTTAATATTATTATCCTGGTGCGGTGAATCGTGCATCTTAAATATATCAACGGGTAGATAACATTAAATGTTCATTTAATGCACTTCTTTATACGTTCTCCCATTAAAAGGCCCCTCCACGTAAGCTAGGTACGTTAGTTAAACGGAATCTACTAACGATTTAGGCTTTTCTATGCATGGTTTGTTTTGTTAAAGGTGTTTCTAGTAGAGTCATGTGTGCTTGATGCCAAATCTGTTCCCCGTAGATTTGCATGAGCGTCTCTGCCTATGGTCGAGATTTGCACGAGAATCTGGCAATCGACTTAGCTCTAACACTTTTACAAAGAAATGTTCCAAGTACATTTCATCTACATAAGGTAATCTAAATACCTAATGACACAGTATCATCAAAATCTAAATACAAATTATTCCTTATAATTAACTTTTCGCAATAATGAATAGTCAAATAAGTCAGTGGTGTTAACTTTCTATTATGTGGGTTTGTGTTTGAGAAACTCTTAATAAGTTGAGATTATTTGCATATGTCTTTTCAAATTTTAGATTATTGATAGCTGGCGGCGGCCGTCTCCCTAGTAATTAGGGTTTGAGTATGCACAAGTCTAGTGATTCATCTCTTTCGGCAAAGTTGAGCACGAGACTGCTCATACTACTCTTCTCTTCTTTTGTAGATCATTCGCGGCAGAGCTGGATTGGAGATATGAATGCATCACAGGGCTTGGCAGCGAAGAAGATAACCGCTAGCGGCGGTTTTGCTACAAGTGCGGTTATCATGATATAGTAATATCCCGGTGCGGCCTCCTCCTGAACCATCAGTACCACTCTACAAATATTAGAGTGGTACTGATGATGCGGCCTCCTCCTGAACCACCACCATGAGTTGAACGAGGTGCTAGGGTCCGTGAAAGTTATCCTATTAGTTATTATTATTATTTTGTCATTTGAATTCTTGTTTACGTCTTTGTTGTTAGGTATGCTAGTTTGTTTGGAAATTTAGCCTATTTTTATGTCGTTCAGGGTATATGGATCTATGGGAACAAGGATGGCTATGTCAAGCCCGCTACGTGGTTAGCGATTCATGTTACTCTTTCAGGAGTGACTGTCTCTAATTCTGATCACAGAGTTTACAGTCGTTGTTTTGGGATGTTAGTTGGTGTCAGATACGATTTTCCTTTGATTGATGTAATGATCTTGAAGGTAATGATATGAATAGAGGCGAGTTTCCGTTTTAAAAAAGATTATTGATAGCTGAACATTTATCCTTTTTAATGGTAAGGGTAAAAATTGTCTTACATTAACATGACTTTTGTTTATAATAAATTAATACGTATTTAGTATCTTATACTTCGTACTACGTATGATCCTTCTGAATTACTACATCCGTTTCAAAATGATGGTCCTGTATTTCCTTTTTAGGATGCCCCAAAATGACGGTCTTGTTTCCCTTTTTGGAAAGAAAGATGTGTTCCATATCATTTCACTTTATTATACTCAAATCTCAACCACAACTTTTACCTTTTCAATCACTTTATTAAAACTTGTGCCCAAAAGAAATGAGACCATCAAATTGGGACGGAGGGAGTATAAGAGATACTCCGTATGAATTTACAAAATTTGAGCAAGATAAAAATAATGGTAGATTCTATGGTACCCATAAGGTACCATACCTTTGTCAACATGGACCAATGAGAATGTAGCAGTTGAATTATTTAAATCTAAATTAAAAATGATAAAGTGATGTGATCCAATCAAATGAATGATAGGTACGGTACCCCATTTTTTAGAAAGACACCGGAGTTGTCATCAAAAATAATATCTCCATTATAATATTTTTTGAATATTTTATCTCTATTATAATGGAAAGCAAGATTGAATGTAATTTAAATATTGATAAAAAAATAGTTCCTCCGTCCCAATTTGATTTGCAAAATTTCCTATTTTGGTTGTCCCAAAATGGTTTTCCACTTTCTATTTTAGATATGTAAATAAGAATAAAGTGACAAATTTACCCTTATTTTTACTTTTTTCTCATTAACTTAAGGGAAAAGGTGCAAATAAGCCCATGTACTAACAAAAAAGGTCAAATAAGCTCTTATTTAGAAGGCTCTATCCAGTAATCCTCATTTGGGGTGGTTCCCAGTGGAATTTTTTTGATGAAATTTGTTGAGCATCTTATTCATCGAGTCTAGTTTACTCATACCAAATTTCAGCTAAAAACTCATTCGGGAAGACATTCAAATGAATTCTTGAAATTAACTTCGCAGTAAGAATCGCAGTTATCTTCAAGAATTCATTTGAATGCCTTCCCGATTGAAGTTTTAGCTGAAATTTGGTATGAGTAAACTAGACTTGATGAATAAGATGCTACAAAATTTTCATCAAATAATTCCACCGGAAACCACCCCAAATGACGACGGCCGGACAGAACCTCCTAAATAAGGGCTTATTTGACCTTTTTTGGTTAGTACATGGGCCTATTTGCACCTTTTTCCTTAAGGGAAAAGGTGCAAATAGGCCCATGTACTAACAAAAAAAGGTCAAATAAGCTCTTATTTAGAAGGCTCTATCCTGTAATCGTCATTTGGGGTGATTCCCAGTGGAATTTTTTGATGAAATTTGTTGAGCATCTTATTCATCGAGTCTAGTTTACTCATACCAAATTTCAGCTAAAAACTCAACCGGGAAGGCATTCAAATGAATTCTTGAAAATAACTGCGCAGTTAGAATCGCAGTTATCTTCAAGAATTCATTTGAATGCCTTTCCGATTGAAGTTTTAGCTGAAATTTGGTATGAGTAAACTAGACTTGATGAATAAGATGTCCAAAAATTTTCATCAAACAATTCCAACGGAAACCACCCCAAATGACGACGGCCGGACAAAACCTCCTAAATAAGGGCTTATTTGACCTTTTTTGGTTAGTACATGGGCCTATTTGCACCTTTTCACTTAAGGAAAAAGGTGCAAATAGGCCCATGTACTAACAAAAAAAGGTCAAATAAGCTCTTATTTAGAAGACTCTATCCTGTAATCGTCATTTGGGGTGGTTCCCAATGGATTTTTTTGATGAAATTTGTTGAGCATCTTATTCATCGAGTCTAGTTTACTCATACCAAAATTCAGCTAAAAACTCAACCGGGAAGACATTCAAATGAATTCTTGAAAATAACCGCGCAGTTAGAATCGCAGTTATCTTCAAGAATTCATTTGAATGCCTTCCCGATTGAAGTTTTAGCTGAAATTTGGTATGAGTAAACTAGACTTGATGAATAAGATGCTCAAAAATTTTCATCAAACAATTCCACCGGAAACCACCCCAAATGACGACGGCCGGACAGAACCTCCTAAATAAGGGCTTATTTGACCTTTTTTGGTTAGTACATGAGCCTATTTGCACCTTTTTCCTTAACTTAAAGACATCTACTTTTAGAATGATGGACAAAAATGTAAAAAGCAAGCATCATTTATTGTTATTCCTTAATCCTTGTGCCGGTCAAAGATTGCAATTCAATTCGGAACGGAGGGAGTAATAGAGTAAAAGAGAATTTAATGAGTACTACGTATTTCTTTAATTCGTATATTTGAAAAAAAACGTTGACCTACACATATTAAGGAAATAAATTTACTAGGGGCTAAATTTTACTGTTTTGACACTGTTTCGACACTGTTTATCACTGCTTCGACACTGTTTGACACTGTTTTGCACTGTTTGATCCTGTTTTAATGTAGTATTGAGGATGTTTTTACTTGGACTGTAATTCCTCCCAGACCAGATCAGACCAGACCAGATCAGACCAGATCAGACCAGACTTAGATAGTTATAAAAATACAAAGAAACCAGACCAGACCAGACCAGACCAGACCAGACCAGACCAGACGTGATCAGCAAATTAGGGTCAAGTAAAAACATTGTGATGCTTCTCATATTGAGGGAAGGAGGGAGTATTGATGCTTGTTTGATATCGCCACTCCAGTTCATACAAAATACAAAATACCTTCTCATATTGTTGCTTGTTTGATATCGCCACTCCAGTTCATACCAAAGTGGACAGTCTCGCGGTGGCGATGGACGTGAACGGGACTGGCATGGAGGGTCTAAACCAGTGCCTGAGCAGCTTTGTCGACACCGGAACCGTGGAGAGCCACCGGTACTACCTCGCCCGCAGAACGGTGCTGGAGATGCTTAGGGACCGCGATTATGCCGTACCCATGGCCGAGATTGATATCTCCCTTCAGGATTTCCGCCAAAAGTACAGTGACAGGCCTGAGCCTGATAGCCTTAAGATCACCTCTCTCCACAAGTACGACCCTGATAATAAGGTTGTTTGCTTGCTTCAGGATTTTCGTTCCTTATTCACTCACGGGCTCCTATTGTTTTTCATCAAACATTGTACTCTTGCATTTTATTTAGGTTGTCAGTAATTTCACTTAATTGTTTAGAAGAGGAATGAATTTTTATGGATGCTTCTAATGTTTTAGCGAAGTGGCTGTTAACCTAGAAGGAATTGCCTGCAATTTTGTTGTTCTTATTGTTTCGCTGTTGCCATTCTGGTTTCCATAATATTGAGGGACGGAGTCAGTCTTGAAGTTGAATGTAAATAATATCTGATAAACTGGTGAACTTAGAATATCTGATAATCTAACTGATTTTGAATTGTTTTCACCTGAGGACAAGCGAATAATAGTGATCATGCCTTGGCTAAGGCCAAGGCAGCTATTAATTACACTCATTGCAAACATTTTTCGTACATTCCACTTTGTATTCTCCATATTAATAATCATGTGATGAAATGAGTTCTTAATGTCAACAATTCTTTGAATTTAATTGAAAGACCTCCAGATATCTGATAAACTGGTAACTTTAGCTCTCTTTTTCTGTTTGGAAAATTCTTTTTCACTTGTCTGAGGCCCAAAAGAAATGTGTCAGATTGCCTGGTAATATGAACCTAAAACAAACAGAAAAAAATGTGGCTTCCTGACCCCGTGAAGAGTAGTTTGAACATCAATTAACCAATGTATTTACCATATTATTTCATTAATTTAGAGTTTTCATTAAAACTAACTTGTTTTTAAGGTGAAGAGTCATATACTCCACTAGCTATATCCACCTTTTGCCCCTAAACCCATTTTAGGGGTTTGTCTTAAAGTTTCTTTCCACTCCTTGCAGTTGAATGCAAGGTTGTGAACAAGACAGCGTTACGCATTGAGATATTTGGGCCTAGCAGGCCAAGTCCTATTAATGTGACGATGAGATTGGTTTTATGGTTTTACCTCGTTTTGGTGCCTCAGTGTATATTTTTTCCATCACTATCTGCACCTATTAATATTTACAACCTATATTGCAGATTCTGGTCATATTCTGTGGTCAAAATGTTGTAAAAGTAAGTACTATCCGTGGAATTCTAAGTCAGATAGTCAACAAGGAGACCTTGAATCGGTTGATACTGGTTGTGCAAAGTCAACTAACTAATCAAGCTACAAAAGCTGTAGAACTCTTTACATGCAAAGTTGAAATTTTCCAGGTACGTTTTTCTGGTTTTTTATGAACACTGTTTTTGAAGATTTGTACCTCATGCCTCTTTCCCTTGTGGTGAAGTATTTAAATCTGTGTAGTGGTTGGATAAAAACTTAGTGTACTTTGAGCTTCATAATTTTCACCGCAGTGTATTGGGCTGTTATATTAGTTACCCCTTTTACGTTTTATCAGGTCAAAGACTTGCTTGTCAACATCACTAAGCATGCATTGAGGCCAAAGCATCAAATTCTATCTGATGAAGAGAAGCAAAAGCTGTTGGAGAAGTATAACTTGGAAGAGAAACAGGTTCGTTGTAGTCACTAGTCTTTTAGACCCAACATGAGAAGACTCATATATGTGTATGTGCGTTACATATCTATCAGATTATCTTTCTAATTTCCATAGTAGCAGTCTTGCAGCATCCTGTGGTTCTAGTCATCCCAAAATTGCGTTTACTTTGAACATGGCATGTTTCTATTAGGGGCCTTATCTGACTTAAAGTTGACTTAAAGTAGCTGTAATGATCTCTGATAGAGAGCAGCAACTTGAATTGGAGGAGGAGAGACCGAGACCATTGCTGGTCTACCGAAGGAGGGGACGGGCTTGAGCCCACCTCCGTGGGCTGGGTTTCTTTTTAATAAACTTTTAATTTATTAATTATTCTGTTGTTTCTTTATTGGGCCTGGGGAGTATTTTAATAAGGAGTATGTATTCCGTAATTAGAGTATTTATATCCCTAATTAGGGTTCAGCGAAGGCAGCCATCAATAATATTCAGTTTCGAATTTCTGTATTCAACAATTGGTCCGACCCGCCGGATCCTGTTTCCGCCGGAATGACTAGATCTAACACCGAGCGTTTGACGGAGGTGAAGGCCGAACAAGCCTCGATGAACCAGAAACAAGATGCGCTGAGTGCGCAATTGGGTGAGATCGCAGCCGCCCTGGCTGCGCTCACGACGGCGGGCGCAACTGGAGGGAAGGCGACGGCGGCATCCGGGCCTTCGGCGGCAGCCACCTTCAGCAGCGGCGGCGACTTCGAAGACCAGGGCGGCTTCGCCGCTTCTGGGCGACATCTGCGAGGCACGCAAGAGGCGCCGTTTCCTTCGTTTGACGGGGAGGATCCCATTGGTTGGATTGCTAGGGCCGAGCAGCAATTTGAATTGAGTTGTACGCCGCCAGAGAGGAAGGTACCAGCAGCTGTAATTGCCATGGAAGGAGCAGCCTTGTACTGGGTAACGTGGTTAAGGAAGCGGAAGCCTAGCATGACGTGGGAAGAGTTCACGCAGGCACCGGTGGCGAGGTTTGACACGCGGTTTACGGGTAGTCGTTTCGAGCGATTGTCCGGGGTCAAGCAGACAGGGACGGTGGAGGAGTATACCTCGATCTTTGTCCAGTTGGCGAGTCAGGTCCCAAGGTTGTCTGACGAGCATTACCCGGGGTATTTTATGAATGGATTAAAGGGGCCGATTCGTGGTTCGTTACGGTTGCTGCGCCCGAACAGCTTGGAGACAGCCATGGAACTAGCCAGAGACATAGAGGACAATCTGTCCTATCAAAGTGGAGGGCGTGGGAGTCAGCCATACAGCAATGCGGGGACACGTTCGGGGGGTTATCCTCGACCAAGTGGGGGTAGCAGTACGGCCACAAGTGGTGGCAGCATTAAGGGATCTAGTAGCAGCTGGCTTAAGGTGCCTGGACAGGTCACTGGGATTGTGCTTTAAATGCAAGAAACCATTTACCCCGGGGCATGACTGCCCGTTAAAGCAGTTACGACTTACGAGTATTGTTAGCAGAAGAGGACGAGGAGTTGGACCTTCAACAACATGACTCTGCGAGATAACCAGACAAGAAGATGTTCCAGAGGATCAGGATGGATTAGAGGGAGGTGAAGGAGATTTTCCAGTCTATTCTATGGTTGGAATTTTCAGCCCGAGAACGATGAGGCTTCAGGGGGTAGTTGCGGGCTGTACCGTGGCTATTTTGATAGACAGTGGCGCAAGCCACAACTTTATTTCTTCGTCCTTGGTCTCTTTTTTACAATTGAGCCCGGACAGGACAGGCATATTTGGGGTGCAATTGGGAGATGGACATAGACAAGAATCGGAAGGGGTGTGTAGACAACTTCCCATCGTGTTACCGGGGTGTGCTATCACCGCAGATTGTTACGTGTTTGCTGTGGTGGGGGTCAATCTCATTCTGGGCGTGGATTGGCTGGCGACATTGGGAGAAGTTAGGACAGATTGGAGAAAATTAACCATGAATTTCGAGATGGGGGGCAAGCGAGTAGAGCTACGGGGTGATCCCGCGATGAGCAGGAATGCGGTTAGCCTTCAAACCCTTTTGAAGACCACTGACGTAGAAATTTGGGCGGTACTTCTAGTCTATAACACTGTCAAACTTCCTGGAGCAGTCCTTGGAACCGAGGATGACATGGGCGGGCAGCAAGCTACTGGGGCAGTGGAGGATATTCTCAAGCAACATGCGGAGGTGTTTGAGGAGCCATGAGGGCTGCCCCTCGTCGCACGACAGACCATCGAATAGAGTTGATGCCCGGATCAAAGCCAGTGTCAGTTCGACCATATAGATATGGACACTTGCAGAAAAATGAGATTGAAAAATTAGTTGACGAAATGCTATGCGCAGGTATCATTCGGCCCAGTTTGAGCCCATTCTCGAGCCCGGTTCTTTTGGTTAAAAAGAAAGATGGAAGCTGGCGATCCTGCGTGGACTATCGGGAGTTGAATAAGTCCACAGTGCCAGATAAATATCCAATTCCGGTGATACAGGAGATGCTTGATGAGCTGGCTGGGGCAGTGGTGTTTTCCAAGATAGATTTGCGCTCAGGCTACCATCAGATAAGGGTGGCTGAAACAGATGTACACAAGACCGCTTTCCGTACACATAACGGGCATTATGAGTTCTTAGTCATGCCATTCGGATTGACGAATGCGCCAGCAACGTTCCAATCCGCAATGAATGACTTGTTTCGACCCTATTTGCGCAGATTTGTCCTAGTCTTCTTTGATGACATTTTGGTTTACAATCGGTCATGGACAGAACATAGGAAACACTTGGAATTGGTTCTGATCATCTTGGAAAAGAATCAGTTTAAAGCCAACAAGAAGAAATGTGCATTTGGGGGCCTGGAGATTGAGTACTTAGGACATATTATTTCATAGGCTGGGGTGGCCATGGACCCGGCAAAAGTCAGCGCAGTAGTGAGCTTGCCGCAACCTCGCTCAGTCCGAGAAGTTCAGGGATTTTTAGGGCTGACCGGATATTACAGGCGGTTTGTGAAGGAGTACGGTCTTATTGCACGACCACTCACGGCTCTTCTGAAGAAGGATGCACCAGCCCATTTTGTGTGGCCTCCCGAGGCCGAGGAGGCATTTCAGCGCCTTAAAAAGTCACTGACTGAGGCATCCCTATTAGCTGTGCCCCGATTTGATCGACAATTTGTGGTCGAGTGTGATGCATCCGGTACCGGCATTAGAGCGGTGCTCATGCAGGAACGATGGCCCATTGCATATTTCAGCAAATCCTTGGCAGATAGAACCATTTCCAAATCAGCTTATGAAAGGGAAATGATGGGGTTGGCCTTAGCCGTTCAACACCGGCAACCGTATTTGATTGGACGACAATTTGTGGTTCGTACGGATCATCGCAGCCTCAAGCACCTGTTCACTCAGCGAATAGCAACTCCAGTACAACAGGTTTGGGTGGCGAAGTTACTGGGGTATGATTTTGTGATTGAGTACAAGACAAGCATCTCTAATGGAGCGGCTGACGCTCTATCGAGGAGGGGGGAGGAAGCTGCACTGGCCGCAATCAGCGGCCCTGAATGGCTAGGAATGGCGGATGTGGAGGAAGAGCAGAAAAGAGACAAATTCTTGCAAGGGACTGTTCAAGCCCTGGTTAGAGATCCAACTTGTAAGCCAGGCTATGAACCGATAGGAGGACGGTTGTTTTACAAAGACCGTTTAGTGTTGGCTTCAGATTCCAAGTGGATTCCTATCTTGTTGAAGGAATTTCATGACACACCGATAGGAGGGCATGCTGGGGCTTACCGCACCTATAGAAGGCTGGCCATGAATGTATTCTGGAGGGGAATGTTTCGCCGTGTGCAAGACTATGTGGCTCAGTGTTTGGTTTGCCAGAAGAACAAGTACGAAGCTATGTCACCAGCAGGATTGTTGCAACCACTACCCATTCCAGATCTGATTTGGGAAGATATCTCAATGGACTTCATTACTTGTTTGCCAAAATCGAAGGGGTATACAACGGTTCTCGTGGTAGTGGACAGGCTGTCCAAGTATGGACATTTTATAGCTCTTAAGGCTCCTATTGCGGCACGATTAGTGGCAGAGGCTTTTTCTAAAGAAGTCGTTCGGTTGCATGGCATTCCATGATCTATTGTCAGTGATCGTGATTCCCTGTTTATCTCTGTATTCTGGAAGGAACTGTTTGCACTTTCAGGAACACAACTGAAATTTAGTTCGGCTTATCACCCGGAAACGGATGGCCAAACGGAGGTATTGAATCGTGTGCTGGAGACTTACTTGCGCTGTTTTACTTGTGAGCAGCCGAAACAGTGGTTCAGGTGGCTTCCATGGGCTGAATACTGGTATAACACTGCATTCCAAACAACAGCCAGGGTTTCTCCATTCGAAGTTGTGTACGGGAGACCACCACCGTCTATACGGAGATTTCTGCCCGGCGAGAGCAAAGTGGCTGCAGTGGCAGATGTGTTAGGGAGTCGAGACACCGTGTTGGGATGTTTAAAAGAGAATTTAGCAAGGGCACAACAGCGAATGGTTGCACAGGCTAATAAACATCGCCGGGAGATCAATTTCCAGGTTGGGGACAAGGTGTTTTTGAAGGTGAGACCTCATCGACAGTCTACAGTGTTCCGTCAACCTCACCATAAGTTATCATCCAAGTTCTATGGGCCATTTTTGGTTGAGGCACGAGTGGGGGCAACAACTTACCGATTGGCGTTGCCTTCCACCAGCCACATACACCCTGTGTTTCATGTATCCCAACTACGACGGGTGGTGGGCGATCACCCAATAGAGAATGAGCTGCCAGAAAGTTTGGAACTACCGGTGGGGCCAGAGTTTGAACCGGACGAAATATTGGCTCAGAAGGCAGGAGGCGAGGATGGGGCAGCTGAGGAGGAACTGTTGGTCAAATGGGTGGGACAATCTATTGATGATGCTACTTGGATGAGGAAAGACACGTTCAAGAGCCAGTTTCCAGATTTCAACCTTGAGGACAAAATTGTTTCGAAGGAGGATGGAGTTGATAGAGAGCATCAACTTGAATTGGAGGAGGAGAGACCGAGACCATTGCTGGTCTACCGAAGGCTGGAACAGGCTTGAGCCCACCTCCGTGGGCTGGGTTTCCTTTCAATAAACTTTTAATTTATTAATTATTCTGTTGTTTCTTTATTGGGCCTGGGAGGTATTTTAATAAGGATTATGTATTCCGTAATTAGGGTATTTATATCCCTAATTAGGGTTCAGCGAAGGCAGCCATCAATAATATTCAGTTTGGAATTTCTGTATTCAACAATCTCACTTGGGAGATACTCTCCTTGCTTGTTCAGATGTGGTCAAATATGGATTGGACTAGTTTAGTCTGATCTAAATCTTTTAAACTTGGTCTGATCGGGTCTTCTCAATCCTTATCAACCATCTACTTTTAGAACAAGGGAACATTGTTATTTTCATATCAAGCACTGATGAACATTTAGAATAGAGCACCGAACTCTTGACATCCATACCATTAAGAAGAACAGAGTATCATTGTAGATTTGTAGTGGGTGTTTGGCAAAAAGATGGTTCTTATTCTAAGAATCAGAAATGTTGTTGTGGAGAGAATTGATTAAAGGTGTTTGGCATTGATAATTGGACGTAAGTGTTGTGATGTGCTTCTGTGGGCTATTTGGTTTTCTTAAAGGGAAGGTGCTTGGTAACTCTAACATCCATTTCAGCAAATCAAGAAAGTCACAAAGCTACTTATTCTGCTTGTAAGCAGAATAAGACAAACTGGCTACGAAATAAAACCTAAATGCTATCTGATAATAAGAATCAAGACCCTAAAACACTTTGAGAAACTCTGCCAAATACTTTACAAACCGCTTCTTCTAATTTGCACTTGAAACAGCATAATTAGTTTCAAAAAGCTGAAACAAATACTCAATGTTTGGGATTTGAATGAGAACACTAATACAAGCATGAGTCTTCATTGTGTCAGAAATTCTAATCCTTAGAATAGTATGTGTACCACGGTGTCACATATTGAGTACAACATCATGCATGATTTCTGACTTGCAGCCATCTTGAATGATCAGGTTTGCTAGCCGTTTAGAAAAACAATAGTTTTATGTGTTTACCAGTTCTCATATGTATATATACTCCCTTTGTCCCAAAAAGATGGATACATTTTGACTTTTCTTGGTCAATGATAGTTAAGTTTTACCAATGATATCTTTTAGCACAAAATTATTTAAAATATGAAAATTATATGAACATATTCTTTATTAATTTTTTTTACATATAAGTATAAAATTTATAAATTACAAACAAATATAATACCTAAAATCATTGTCTAAACTTTACCACCATTGACCAAGAAAAGTCAAAATGTATCAATCTTTTTGGGATGAAGGTAGTATGTGTGTATATATATGTATATATATGTATGTATGTATATATATATATGTATATATATATATGTATATATATATATACATATATATATATATATATATATATATATATATATATATATATATATATATATATATATATATATATATATATATATATATATATATATATATATATATATAACTTATTGAAACTTCCGGCATTTGAAGTAGTTCTTCTTGACAATTTCAAGCTTCCTAGGATGTCACAGAAGGATGCGATAGCCCGCTACTACGGACTTGAAAAGGGGCAGGTTTTGAAGGTTACGTACACAGGCGAAATCATTGAGACACATGTTACCTATCGTTGTGTTTGGTGATGCTCATTGAGTGGAAGTTGTGTTATGTAGTTCTTAGCTTTCTCTCTGCCATGGCTGGAATTTGTGTTTGAATTTTGTAGTATAATGTGGTGTCGTCTGTTATTCATAGTGTCCACCACGAACACCTTCAGCTACCCCTAAGGTTTCTATGTCGTGTTGTTTTAGGATCTCCTGATATTTTATCAGTATGTCTTATAGTCACGTCAATTATCCTGGCAGCCATCTCTTGATTTTTGATTTATGATGAATTGATGATTTTCTTAAGCTTTCATAAGAGCCACTATGGAAAAGGTTACGTTTGGCATATACTCCCTCCGTCCCACTAACAATGGGACACGAGGGAGTGACACGCAAATTAATAAAAAGTGGTTTATGTGGTTGATATTGAATTGATAAAGTAAGAATAAAGTAAGAATTATTTAGAGTCACACAAACTTTACCAAATTTGGTATGAGACAATCTTAGTGAGACGGACCGATAAGGTAAAATGGGACAATCATAACTAGGGGTGGACTCGGGTCCGGGCCGGGTCCGGGTCGGGCCTAGGCCCGGGTGGGCCGGCGGTTCAGGAATGGTGGACCCGGGACCGGCCCGGGTAGCCACCGGGTCCGGTCCGGGCCTCCGGTTTGGAATTTTTTTTTTGCTTTCCTAACCCCCCACCCTCCCAAACCCCCCTCACCCATCCTACCCATCAAGCCCAACCCGGGTGGAACCCCAAAAATGAAAAAAAAAAATAAAAAAAAAATCAATTTTGGCTTGGGGCTGGATCACCAAATTTGAGACCCGAGCCCGGACCTGCCCTACCCCCGGGCCTAGGCCCGACCCGGACCCGGACTCGAGATCCGGGTCGGTTCCGGTCCTGCACAGTAGCTGGCCGGGCCGGTCCATGGGCCGGGTGGCCTGACCCGAATCCAATCATAATCATAACGGGACGGAGGTAGTATGATTGAAATCGCTGGTCAAATTTCTTGAGATTGTGGACTAAAATGATTAAATTTATTGAATTATCTTAAATACGACAAACTAAAAAGATGAGTGTAAAGTGTTCGTTCTCCACATATTAGCAGAAAAGGAACTTCGTAATTATTTGTTTTAGAAGTGCTATTTGGATTAACATGTAACGGATCCAGGGGTGGATTCGATCAGGTCGGCTCGACCTGGGACCTAGCCCATCACTGTGTTGGCCTGGCCCGGTGATCCGGGACCGGGACTGAGGCTCGAACTGGTCGTATGAAAGGGCAGGCTCTGGGCTTTGTAAATCTTGAACCGGCCGGTCCGGTCTTGGCAATGACCAAATTTAAAAAAAAAATCCTTTTGAATAAGATTTGGGCTGGCTGTTGGAGGGGGGGGGGGGGGGGGGGGGTTGGGTTTAAATAAAAAACCTATTGTTGAGGTTTATTTCCTTCAACCCGTAGCCCCAACACACAACCTAAGGGTTTTGAGTGGATAATTTAGGAGAATAAGGGCAAACAAGTAAGATGAGACCCAATATGAAGTCTTGGTTTAATTCCATTGTTACAAGGCGTGAGGCCGTTCGTACTTACACGGCGTGAGGCCATTTGTACTTACAAGGCGTGAGGTCGTTCGTACAGATGCTGTGTTACGAGATAATAAGAATTCTATAATACTAGGGTGGTAACTGCTAAGTTGACACCCTTTACAATCAGTGGTGGAAGTGGCTAGGGGCTTGGGGGTGCACCAGCCCCTGCAGAATTTTTTATTTATTTATAATATATATAAATATACACAAATCTTCATGTCCAGAATTCCGGATGGGAACCCGCCATCCGGACGGCGGCGTTTCACCCTCTTCCCGGTAGAATATTTTGATGAATTTTTTATGACATGTTTTTCGTCAAGTCTAATTTATCCACAAAAATATTCAGCAAAAAATTCAACCGGGAAGGTCGTCAAATGATTTTTGGAAGTTAACTGCGTTTTATATGTATATTTTGGGCGCATTTATCTTCCAAAAATCATTTGACGGCCTTCCCGGTTGAATTTGTAGCTGAACTTTTTTGTTAATAAACTAGATTTGATGAAGATCATGCCATAAAAATTGCCTCAAAAAATTCCATCGGGAAGGGCCCCAAAAGCCGCCGTCCAGACGGTGGTTTCGGTCAGGAATTCCTGATCGGAAGAGTACTAATTTTTTTGAGTACTATATATATATATATATGTATGTGTATATATATATATATGATAGAGTATATAGACTCGGACCCCCGGGTCTCACGACTATTGGGCCCGGACAGCGGCCCACTCACGCTTATCAGACGTCATTTATATCATTTGTATTATTGTAGAGTTCATATATCATTTGTAAGTACTAGATTAGCATTTTATGTAATTGAGCCTATCGGGCCCATATTAGCGACCCGACTCATTATTTGTCTATTTATACCCCCTTTGGGAGACTTGTAACCCTAGATCACAATTCTATACACAATACACATTACTATTCATATCTTCTTCCATCTCTTGAGCTCAATCTCTCCATTTTAACATATGTTTGGATCCCAATAATCCATCAATATATATATATATATATATATATATATATATATATATATATATATATATATATATATATATATATATATATATATATATATATATATATATATATATATATATATATATATATATATATATATATATATATATATATATATATATATATATATATATATATATATATATATATGGAGTGGTTCCAGTGAGAAAGGACTCCCGTGAGAGAAATGAGAATGAATCTGGACCGTTGGATTGTATTATGTGAAATTGAATTGTGCATTTGGCAAAACTGAAATGTGCATTACGTGAAATTGAAATGTGCAGAATGAAAAAAAAAAACTCAAATTTGCATTACATGAAATTAAAATGTGCATAATAAAAGGCACAAAAATGTCACTGCATCCTAGTTTTTATTCTTCACGTTTCAATTTCACGTAGGGCACATTTTAGTTTTTCATAAAGCACAATTCAGCTTTACATAATACCACTATGCCTTACATTTTGTGCTGCACATTTCGATTTCACCTAATGCACATTTCAGTTTCACTTAATGCACATTCAATTTCACATAATACAATCTAACGGTCCAGATTAATTCTCACTTGGCTCCTGTGAGAAAGGTGACCTAGGAGAGAAATGAGAAACAAATCTAACCATTAAATATCTCAAACTAACGGTGAAGATTAAGATTAAATGATTGGTATGAGTTGGTAATTATGTTGAACTCTGAAGGGTTATTATTTCAACCAATAATACGTGTATCGCTATTGAGGATACAAAAGTAAATTACTCCTCACTTTTCAATCGGACAAGTAAACAATTTTGATATAGAATCTTCCTCCATTAATTTTATTTCCATATTGAACTTGAGTTTTCATTTTATGCGTACCATTAAACGGAACACACACAATCAAAGTGATATTACTACATTTCTTTCCATAGAAAGATCTATAATTTAAATTCATGGAGTACTGATGCTTTTCAATCAAGTAGACAAGTAGGTGTAATGTATCTAGAACAAATATGAACCTTATATGCTTATATACAAGATAATCTATGCACGCCTAATGTATTTATTATGCACTTCATATACATTGACATTTTAAAATAAGGTTAGATACCATGCACTTTAAACATTTCAGCTGATACACTTTCATATATCTTGGTTTATTGCTATCCTTATATTTTCCACTTCTACTATACTCTTTTGCACATTACGTATTTTGTTTTTTTAATAGGTGTTGGAGTGCACATGTTCTAATAAATATAGGCACTCAAATATATATTAGTATTTTTACCATCAAGCTGATGCATTTTAACTTGAACAAGTATGCACTTCATGTACAATGTAACATATGTGCGCACACTGCAAAAATTATGCTTTATATACACTTTTTGTGCACTTTAAGACATTTTGCATTATAACCTATATATTTTCCAATTTTATTGTACATTTTTACATATTATATTTTCTAAATTTTTTTAAATGCTCGAGTGCATATATATATTTAAATGTAAGTGCGAAATAAAAAGGAGAGTGTAATTTGAGATATTAAGGATAATTGTTTTATATTATTTCATTACTAAAAGTGCACATTAAATTATTCATGTTGGCCTTGAAGCATACAATTTGTCGTTGCAATTACGTTTAGATCATGATGCACATTTGTTGTAAAATTGATACACAGTACACTTGTTAACATAATTCAATTATCTTTATTTTTATATCTTAAGATAAAAGGTAAGTCAGAATATTTTTCTATTGTCGAGTCACATGTAAGTTGTTGAAGAAATCATAATTACGTACGAGTTTCATGTACTAAATAGTGCACTTTTTGTATAAATAGTGCACTTTAATGTACAAGTACATCCACTTTCATAAATTAAGTATGGGTGACTAAAATGTAGCTAATGCGTAAATATGAGCAAAAATTATCAACAAAGAGAAATAGATAACATTATGACAAATAAGAAAACAATAGATGAGAAAGTTAGTACTTCCCAAAAATAAAAGAAAGGTAACGGAAGTGGAGCATTAATGACAAAAAATCACTCCGTATTAGTTTACCAAAAACTCCTCAGGGATGCCAGTATAATCTCGTTCTAATATATATAATTGTTATTTGATCTAACAGTGAGTAATCTTTCTTATTTCTCTCCGAAGATGGTTTTCTCACTTGAACCTAAATATATATCAAGTTTAATTAACCAGACCCTGCAGCGGTGCAGCCTAGATAATTTCGTGATATATATGATTTCTTTGTTAATGAGCCCCTGCAAGTCATGAGTCCTGGTTCCGCCACTGTTTACAATGAAATAAATGCTTCTATTTATACTGCCCGATGGTGGTTGAGCATGCTGATGTGGTGGGCTGTGATTGACTTGGATCCCAACCACCAAATCTCTGCATTAAATGGCTTCCCAACCACCATATCTCTGCGTTGGGGATGTACGTCCCCTGAAATAGGGGTAAAGCATCTCCAGTTGCCCCAATTCCTTGGAGACGTTCGTAATGCCCTTAACCGACGCTCCTGACGTGATGGTGGCTTCCTTGGCATGGTTTCCCGCCAATGGGTGGCGACGGTCGTCCCCGGGCATTGGCTGCCTGATGTCCCGTGGTATCTTCCAAGTTGCTGAGCCACTCTGTGTCTCCTGACGTACGTCTCCTGATGCGCTGTTTGCCTGCTTAGATACCCCATGAGAGGAGGCTGTACGTCGTCACCACTTACTGCCATTCTGGTGCAGGAGCCGAACGTCGTCACTGCCTTGGACCACTCTGAGGCTATT